GTTGTAATGTGACAAAATATGGAAAAGTTCAAGGGGTATGAATACTTTTGCAAACCACTGTACTTAGATAAATACATGTAAATAGATGGATACTTATACTTATACAGTATATAGACACATTCAAATACAGTACTTATACATACAGATATACATAAAAATGTTTACTTATTCATATACATATACCATATATATTGAAATATGAACATACATACTCATACATATGTAATAAACTTATTCTTATATATTTATACTTATTTTCTTATATACTTATATATTTACAGATACGTATACTTGCCTGAGACTGATTCCCAACACATACTCTGAGTGATAACATAGTTCTCAAGATTTTTGGTTTAAAAATGAGCAATTATCGATTTGGAGTCAACTCTGTCCATTAACAAAGTTTTGTCAGAAAGAATTTGTATACGTATGTAATACAGGAAGTATTTTAAAGTGTGTCTACAGCTGGTTTATATGTGGAGCCAATCCCATTCAAGATGGCTGCCACAGCCAGCTGATATTAGAAAACACATGGTTGGCTGTACTTTGAATAACTTTGCAGAAATTGAGCTGATATTTGGTGCAGTTTTTGCTGAGACTCGTTAACAGTGATTAACATCTGAAGTCTGTCCAGTTTGTAAGAGACGTGAAAGTTTTTGCTGCGTGTTCTGAAGGTGAGACAGGAAGGATACACAGCATTTAAAACAGGACARTGATCAATGACCACAGGCAGAGAATGCAGCTGTAACCTGTACAATGTTCTCAGCAGCTGACATATTTCTGAAGTCAGCAAATGTCGGATTTTACTTTTGTGACGTTGTGTTGAATTGTGTGAATGTTTAGAGAGTGTGTTACATTCTTCACAGATGTATCAGATGTACAGCGGTTCCAATGATGCACCTCCATCTGGAGAGTGTTTTACCTCACACTTTTTAGTCATGTCAACAAACAGGTTTTATGACTAAAGTAAGGCCACAATAAGAGCTCCATYAAAGTGACACTAAAAACATTTAAATTCAGCAAATAGTACAAGAACTGAAGCTTTTTTATATGGTTTTTATCTGCTGCTAAGTGTTGATAATGACTGTTAATAGCTCAGTATTTGTAGATTTGACTGATTTAGTCATTTCAGTGTTTGCTAAGGATGATAATCTGAAGCAGGTGATCAGCATCCTGTCTGCTTCTCTTTTAATCCCAAGTGGTGTTCTAATAATGAAATGTTTGTTGTCTAGCCTCCGAGTGTAAGCCATGTAGCCACTCCTGTGGGAACCCCAGYGGGCAGCTCAGCATCCGGACCCTTGTTCCTGGTGGGAGAGGGTCTTCGACCTCATCAACCCCGGCCTCCATCACAGAGGATGAGTTCTTTTGTGGCACAGCAGATGATCAGGTAAAAAACATTTATTTACATCAGGATAATCTTTATTTTATAATTTCTTTAACTTCTTCCCTCCCCTCTCCAAGAAATCCAGATCCACTTCCAACATATTGTTTTACTTTTAGCTAGTCTTTGGGGGCTTTAAGTTTCAGCAAACATCTGCTAATTTTAGCTTTTAGCTAGTCTTTTGCTACTTTAAGCTTTCATAGCTAACATCTGCTATTTTTAATTTTAAGCCTTCAGCTAAAAATCTGTTGATTACAGCTTTTAGCCAATCTTTTGCTACTTTAAAATTTCAACTAACATCGGCTACTTGTAGCTTTTACCAAACCTTTTGCTTCTTCATGGCTAGGCTTTTGTTAACTTTAGCTCTCCATTGTTTCTTTCTTCTTCTTCTTCTTC